AGCGGTTCACCCCTCAAAGCCCTGCCGAAACACTTCAACACTTGCTGGACGCGCTTTTATCGCCTCCGGCCAGAAAGCGTCGGCCCTGCACACCATGGCGGTGTTACAGGCTTTCCAGGCCAAGCTAAGAAAACCTGTAACAGGTTTTGGCTGGCAAGCCATCCCCGAAGTGTCAAATTGGGTAATAAACACTATAAAGCGAGGTTACTCAGTCCAATTCGCTCGTAGACCCCCGCGATGTCAGGCGGTCGTCGAGACTTCGGTGAGAAGCAGTGTGGCTCATGTACTTCGCACCGAAATGCAAAATCTGCTAGCAAAAGGGGCGATAGAGAAAGTTCCCCCCTGCGCTGAGCCAATCTGGGTTTTACAGTCGCTACTTCCTTGAACCAAAAAGGATGGCAGCACCAGACCCATTTTAGACCTGAGACATCTAAACAGAGCCTGGGTGCCGCCCATTCTTGAGATTCGCCTTCAAGGGGCAGGCTTATCAATACACGGTCCTACCGTTAAGTCTATCTCTAGCACCCCGTACATTTACGAAGTGCATAGACGCAGCACTCTCTGAGACAACGGGGAGTGCGTGTGCTGAACTATCTCGACGACTGGCTCATCATGGCTCAGTCGAAGACCGAATTATTGACACACAGATCCTGGCTCCTCAGTCATTTGGAATGCCTCGGGCTCAGGATAAATTTTTCCAAGAGCAGACTGTCACCCAGCCAGAACGTAACCTTTCTGGGCACAGTTATCGCCTCGACACGGATGAGAGCCCGTCTCACGCCAGAGCGCGCTCTCTATCCAACGGCTGGTAGCCTCCTTCAGGGCAGGTGCGTGCATGCACCTCAAGAAGTTTCAGAGGCTCTTGGGCCTCATGGCCACGGCATCGTCAGTACTCCAACTGGGATTACTGCATATGCGCCCCCTACAGCACTGGCTGAAACGCCGTGTGCCAGCCCATGCGTTGCACTCAGGACGCCTGCAACTCACAGTGAACCAGGGCTGCATAAGAGCCATGGCTCCCTGGAAAGCCCCGGACTGGTACCAGTCAGGCGTGACCATGGGTGTGGCCTCCAGGAGGAAGGCAATTTTCACGGACACCTCCAACCTAGCTTGCACGAGGGCAAGTCTGTCTCCGGCCTCCAGTCGAGCCCGGAAAAGAGCTTACATATCAACTGCCTCGAAATGAGAGCAGTCTTGTTTAGCCCTAAAAGCGTTTCTGCCAGACCTGGGAGGACACCACGTCTTGGTCCGCACGGACAACATGTCGGTGGTGTCCAACATTAATCACCAGGGTGGCCTCAGATCGGGCAACCTGTAGGTCATGGCCAGAAACCTCCTCTGAGGAAAAGCCAACCTGCGCTCTCTGAGAACTGCTCACGTCCCGGGCATCCAAAAATCTGGGTGCGGACATGCTGTCTCGAGACAACACTCCCCCCGGCAAGTGGTCTCTCAACCCACAGACGGTCCGTCTGATCTAGAGTGTGTTTGGCAGGGCAGAGGTCGACCTCTTTGCCTCAGAAAGCAACACTCATTGCACAATGTTCTTTTCAAAGAACAGGGACTCACTGGCCCATTCCTGGCCCAGATGCCCGCTTTATGCGTTCCCTCCCGTCTTGATGATTCCTCAGGTCATCGAGCGGATCAGGGAAAGCGGATGATCAGTCCTCCTAATAGCCCCCCTCTGGAAGACCCCGGTATGGTTCCCAGAGCTGGCGCAGATGCTGAACACAGCCCCCCTGGCCTATACCAATGAGGAAAGATCTCCTCACGCAGGCGAACGGGACGATTTGGCACCCTCCATGTATGGCCCCTCAACGGGTATCCTGTGACCTCCCAGAAAAGGTCTTGAATACTATCACCGAGGCTAGAGCACCATCTACTAGGTGCCTCTATGCTCTGAAGTGGTCAGTGTTCACCAGCTGGTGCACAGCTAGAGACCTCGAACCCCAGTCATGCGCGGTATCAGTAGTACTCTCCTTCCTGCAAGAGCTTTTAGACGCGGGACACACCCCATCCACGCTCAAAGTGTATGTGGCGGCCTTAGCAGCCTACCATGCTCCTGTGGCTGGCCAATCACTAGGGAAAAGCGACCTCACCGTTCACTTCCTCAAAGGGGCCAGGAGGATGAACCCCCCTCGGCCCCCTTCTATGCCGGCATGGGACCTCTCCACGGTCCTTGGGGCCCTGAAGGGTCCCCCCATTTGAACTGCTTCAGTCAGCTGATCTTAAGCCACTTTCACTGAAAACTGCTCTTCTGTTGACCCTGGTATCAGTTAAGCGAGTGGGCGACTTGCAAGCGATGGTGATTCCAGAGTTACCCTCAAGCCAAGACATGGCTACGTACCCAAAGTGCTCTCAACTCCGTTCAGAGCGCAGGTTATCACAATATCAGCACTTCCCCCTCGGTAAACGACGGGGAGGCTAACTTGCTCTGTCCTGTCAGAGCTCTTAAAATCTTCCTGGAGCGTTCCACACCGTACAGGCAGTCAGAACAGCTTTTCGTATGCTTCGGCGGCCGCACCAAAGGGTTACCGGTCACGAAGCAGAGACTATCAAGGTGGATAGTGGATGTCTTTTCCCTAGCATACACCTCGGTGGGCCAGGTTTGTACCATAGGCGCTAGAGCCAACTCCACAAGGGGCATGGCTTCTTTGTGGTCCTGGTCTAGTGGTGTACCAATTGAAGACATATGTGCAGCGACCGCCAACCGGTCCTCGCCATCCACGTTTGTTAAGTTCTATAACATGGAGGAACCTTGATTGCAAGCTCGAGTCCTCTCTATATGACTCTACATGATGAGTGAACCGAACGGTTGTCCGGTTTTATCAGTCTTACACGATTTACGCTCCATAAGCACAATTCTGTCCTAGGAAGTATACTGTTTTAAGAGTGAACCTGGCCTCAGGTGCTCCAGCCCCTCTTATATGTTATAAGGAACCGACTCAGGTCCGGTCCCCATTCTTACTCTGTTGGGTTTTTTATTAATGGCTTGTGTCTTACTGTGAGCCTTAGGTTGTCCCTGGGCTCCAGTTGGGACGAAGTCAGTTGCTAATAGTGCGGCGTTTTACACTGCGTCCCCACTTCGTATTAGCTATGCAACACGAAGTGACCGTTCTCGAAAGGGAACATACGGTTCCCTGAGAGTAGGGAACGAATATCGCGTAGCCTGCCGCACTATTGCAGTCTGTCAGGGGTTTTTCGTTTCAGTCGATTTAACCTGATACTATGCCGAAATGGTGGGCTTATATAGCCATAAGCCGCACCCATTCTGGCGGTCTCTGACGTGCTTAAGCGCGAAGCTGCCTGATTGGTTCGCGCGTCTGAGCCGCTTCGCCATAGGATGTGCAGTTGCTGCAGCACAGCCAATGGGCGAGCTAGACGCTCTACTGTGCTCGCTGTGCAGCTGCACTGCGTTTTAAAATATAGGCTTCAATATTCTCAAGGAAAGGAGTTTCCCCACTGCGTATTAGCTACGCAATACTCGTTCCCTACTCTCAGGGAACCGAGGTTACGTTAGTATCCGAGTATGTTTCTCATTATTACGAGAAAGTTTCTTAATATTATGAGATGTTAAGTCATTATTATGAGAAACTTTCTCATTATTATGACTTAAAGAATCATATTTATTACTCAAATGTGGAGGAAACGGGCTTCCATAGGTATGTGAGAGGGAACTACAAAAAAGAATGTGAGAAAAAAAAAAAATATATATGTATATACACTGAACAAAATGATAAACGCAACACTTTTGTTTTTGCCCCCATTTTTCATGAGCTGAACTCAAAGATCTAAGACTTTTTCTATGTACACAAAAGGCCTATCTCTCTCAAATATTGTTCACAAATCTGTCTAAATCTGTGTTAGTGAGCACTTCTCCTTTGCCGAGATAATCCATCCACCTCACAGGTGTGGCATATCAAGATGCTGATTAGACAGCATGATTATTGCACAGGTGTGCCTTAGGCTGGCCACAATAAAAGGCCACTTTAAAATGTGCAGTTTTACTGTATTGGGGGGGGTCCGGGGGGAAGCCCCCCGAAAAAAAAAAAACAGGTTGTTGATTATGGCCTGTGGAATGTTGGTCCACTCCTCTTCCATGGCTGTGCAAAGTTGCTGGATATTGGCAGGACCTGGAACACGCTGTCGTATACGCCGATCCAGAGCATCCCAAACATGCTCAATGGGTGACATGTCCGGTGAGTATGCTGGCCATGCAAGAACTGGGATGTTTTCAGCTTCCAGGAATTGTGTACAGATCCTTGCAACATGGGGCCGTGCATAATCATACATTGCAACAGTTTATTTAGAATATAGTTAACAAAATAAAAGAGAGCCACATTTTGAGTACACAGTTATACCTGGAAATAAATCCTGGCATACCTGGCATGTCCAAGGTGTTTGGTGTTTCTATGCACTGAGAAGAAGACACAATGTCCTGCTTCCAGTCATTGAGCTCACCTTCACCATATTTATGCAGAATGTCCAATGTGGCCCAGTATCTGGTCAATATGATTCTCAAATCTGTGAGATAAGAAAAAAAAAACAATCTGTGCGCATACTGATAACAGGATCATAGCCACTATTTTATTAATGTTAATATAATGTCCACTTTTAACAGAAAACATGATTTTTGTGATCTCATGAATGCATGTATTATTGCACAGCATGTGAACAAAATTTTGTATAGACCCCTTTTCAGTTAGTAAACATAGTGATGTTTTTTTGTGGGTGGAGCTTAGGTGGAGGCAGAACGATTTCTCTGGCTGCTTCTCTAATGCTAGTTAGCAAGTTTTGTTATCTTGTTTTTTAACAATGACTGGAGAAAATCCGATTTTATCTTCATGTGTAAGGTCACTCACTGTCCAGGACCATGGTTGTTATTTGAAAAAGTTAATTTTAACGGACGGATCCAGACTGGCCGACCCGTACAGGTACACTCAATGGATTGACGATCTGACAAGATTACCTCTGGTTGAGTGGCCTGACTTCTACACCTACCTGATAGAGTGTTGGGGAATTTCATTTGACTCATACATGTCTCATACATGGGTCTGAATATAAGATGCTGTAATGCTAGAGAAAACCAGGTCTAAATGCTGTAATATTGGAGAAAACCAGGCCTAAGGATATGAGATGAACAGAAAATTAGGCCTGAGGGGAGGTTAGATAAGGACAGGAGAAGAAACTGGGTGAAAGGACATGAAAAAGGCAGGTTGGTTAAGGACAGGAGAAGAAACTGGGTGAAAGGGCATGGAAAAGTACCTGAAAATCATGTATAAAGCCATTTTTAAAAGATACGCATGCGCAAAGAAGGTTGCCCCAATTAAAAATAAAATAACGATGCAGGTGTTTCTAATCGTGGCGACAGGCCAAGGAGGAGCAAGTAGAAAAAGATAACTGTATGAGCGCTAATTGGACACTTAACGATAAGAAAAAGGTATAAGACCTGAGCACTGGCCCTTGTGAAGTCAGATGACTAGCTACCATCTCACTTTGTTGAACTGCTCAATAAAGTTATTCTTCTGAGACCTGAGACTTCGACTCTGAAAGATTTCTTCTGAGACCTGAACCAGACTTTGAAGAATTGAACCAAAGATCGAGAATTTGCCACTACAAGAGTAACCGAGCATAAAGAGAAACTCAGGGCATATAAATCTTTAAATGCCTATAACTATGTGCTGAATGGTCACGGACACGACTTGTGTAGTACAATCCGAAGTACTGCCTAGTCAGCGCCAAGGCCAGAAGACGACCATGTAAAGAGTGACATTACAGTGCAATTTTAATGATGTGAATATTTTCTAGAAATAAAAATTCCAGATACATCAAATTAATTTTTTAACTTTATGTATTCGATTATTCTTTCTTACCAGGTTCTTCAAAAAGTCTAGTTACAATAAATCACAACAATGCATACAATCCTAGACGATTCACAAATAATCACAATAGTTAAGAAAACATTATGTGATAAAAATTCAAATTGGAGCCTGTACTCCGTCGATTCTTGCACCCAACAACACAACAAGATGACATTTTAAGCTCCTTATGTAGCCGAGTCTGTGCTGGTTTGTATTGGCTGCCTCCAGTTTTCCCTTTGTTTTGCCTCCAGCTAACGCCGTTACTTAATTGTGATGTCGGCGCAAAAAGGGTATTTAGGCCTATTGTATGTAGTACTGGTCAAAAGATTGGACGGATTACTATTTTTAATGTTTTTGAAAGAAGTCTCATGCTCATCAAGCCTGCATTTATTTGATCAAAAATACAGAAAAAAAAACAACATATGATGTGAATCATACAGTGTTTAATTAAAAATTAATCTCAGTCCAAATGTAATCTCAGTCCACTTATTATAGGCCTACTTATATATATATATTTTATTTTCATTTTTTTGAAGACAACACACACGCACAATGCCACCAAAACAGTAACTATACATGAATATAACTAAATATACTTTCTAAGCAGTACCATTGTACATGCTACATTGAGCTTGGTACTTACAGCTTTTAAATTAGAACACCCCTCCCCCCACAATATTGCAATGATTGTAGAAGGTTTCTTCAAGTGCTCTACAAACAAGAGTGAATATACACAATCTTTTATCCTGGTGAACGGCAACAACAGAAATTAAAATAATGTATTATCAGACTTTGGCGAGCAGGACGAGGTCGAGGGACGTGAGAGAACGGCGCAAGGTGATTTTATGTTGTGTTGTTTTATGATGTGTGGCGGCAGTCGACCGTGAGGGACTGCCGTCTTTACTTCCGTTGTTGTGGGAAGAAGGAGGGGGAAACAGGCGAACGTTCAACAATTTTAATAATAAATAATAAAATACAAAAACAAAAGTAAAGACGGCAGTCCCTCACGGTCGACTGCTGCCACACATCATAAAACAACACAACATAAAATCAGGCCTGTTCCTCTCTCGCTCTTCACTGTCTTCGCTCCTCCTTTATGCTTCCGTTCTTCCATGAGAGATACGAGACCGGTGCGTCGCGCAGGTGTCACTCATTATCAATCACGCCACCGGCCTCGCGCCGTTCTCTCACGTCCCTCGACCTCATCCTGCTCGCCACACAGACAGTTAAATTAAAGGTCCCGTTCTTCATGTTTTTTTGAAGCTTTGATTGTGTTTACAGTGTGCAATATAACATGTGTTCATGTTTCGCGTGTTAAAAAACACTGTATTTTTCACACAATTTACTTATCTGTATACCGCTGTTTTCACTGTCCAAAAAACGGCCCGATGACTTCCTTGTTCTATGAAGTCCCTCCTTCAGAAATACGTAACGAGTTCTGATTGTGCCAGCGGTTCCTGTGTTGTGATTCGACAGCAGCTTATCGCACGTTGCCCAGAAAGGTCACGCCTCTTACCAAAAATTGGAGATGCATGCGCTGCTGAAGTGCTTCTTCTCCGTGGGAGCGCAACAAGACCACGCCCCCCTTTTTTTGTGTATTCCTGTTGGCGGAGATTAGTCAAAAAACTGTTCTAGTTACGTCATTAAAAAAGGAAGTAGAGGGATGTAGTCCAAACTGGCCGTTCGCTGTAGGCTTTGAAAGGGGACTTCTGTTAAATAAAATATCTCGCTAGGCATTGAACTTTGAGCTTTATAATTTTACAGGTATTATTTATGCTCTAACAGCAACATTGCACACTAACTAAAGTTTGAAAAATGGAATCGCGAAGAACGGGACCTTTAAAAGGAGATGTGAAGCAAAAAATAAATAAACAATAATAATAATAATAATACACATGAAGCTTGTTCAGTCCACCTGTAAGAATTTTCTTATTGGTTTCCAAATCTTAATGAAAATGGATAGTTTGTCTTTTAATATAAATCTCAGTTCTTCCAAGTGCAACATATTTTCCAGTTCCCTAGCCCACATCTCAAAAGTGGGGACAGAATCTGCTTTCCACATCTGTAAAATAAGTCTTTTTGCAAGCATCATACACAGCGAAATGGCCTGTGTCTGAAATTTATTACAAAAAGCATTCTTTGCTCCTAAAAGTCCAGTGCAAGACTCAATAGAATTTGCTTCAGAAAGAAATTTAAATATACATTCCTAAAATGGCTAAATTTTACTACATGACCATAAAGAATGAAACAGTGTGCCTTCTGACATTTTACACTTATTACAGAGGGGAGAAATCGTGGGATACATTTTATGAAGTTTTGACTTAGCATAATGAAGTCTACGAGTTACCTTGAACTGAATCAAATTACCTTGAACTGAATCAAATTGTGTCTATCATTCACAGAACATGTATGTATGTTTCTCAAGCACTCATCCCACATGTTTTCATGAATGTTAAAACCAATTTCCTCCTCCCAGTCATGTTTTTTTTTCTCTGTGTTATTGTCCACATTTTCTAGCAGTAATTTGTAAAAGTTTGACACATTACCACTCATACCAGGGTGTACATTAACAATTCTCTCTAAGGTGGGATTCAAATTCAAAACGGCAAAGTTTGGAATGTGCTTTCTAACAAAGTCTCTAACTTGCAAATAACGGAAAAAATGTGCAGAAACAAGAGCATAGTTTTGTTTTAGCTGTTCAAAAGAGCTAAATGTACCTTCCCTATAAAGATCCTGAATTGTTAATATACCCATGTGTTTCCATTGAAAAAAGAGCTTATTGTGTAACCCTGGAGGAAAAGCATGATTATTACAAGTGTAATAGTGTCCAGATATATATCTGGAATTTTCAAATATACCTTAATTTGTTTCCACACTTTAATTAAGTTAGAGATAACTAAGTTTCCGTTGATACTTTTGACATCAATTTTAATGGGACTATTAAGCAGAGCGATTAATGAAGTCTTATTACAACAAGCTTCTTCAATTGCTAATGTAGCAAATTAGCTCTATGAAATATTAATAATCAATCATAACTTGTTATAATTGATTATGAATATTTGGATCAGTTAATCGGGTTAACTTGATGTAGCTACATTAACATTAAAATCGTCTCAGGTTACGACTGTAACCTATGTTCCCTGAGAACAGGGAACGAGACACTGTGTCAAGCGCTATGGGGAACGCCTCAGCGTGACTGATGACTGAAACACTGTAGAATCACGACAATCCTATTGGCCGGCGTCAGCCATGACGCCATGCTCTAGCGCGACCAGGAAGTATAAGAGGAGTGCCTAGAGAACATGTCATCCACTTCTTCGTCTGAAGGGACTGTAAAAGCAGACCAGAGGCATGGCGACGAGACGCAGTGTCTCGTTCCCTGTTCTCAGGGAACATAGGTTACAGTCGTAACCTGAGACGTTCCCTTTCGAAGGGAACTCGAACTGCGTCAAGCGCTATGGGGAACGAGATACCCACGCTGCCATGCTGAGGGGATGCTTCAGCAACTATGGCTACAAGCAAAAACACATTAACTCAAAGTTAAAGCCCCTTACTGCTTAGACGTCAGGCTAACTGTAGCATTACTCCCTACGGCCACTGCCAGAGCTCCATGCTAAGCGAGGGGAACTCTGTGAATCACACAGAGGGCTTGCCAGCTCGAGGGCATGGGAACCACAGCCCAACCTTCAGAGGGGGGTCCCTTTAAAGGAGTATAGCCCGGAGCCTATGAGCCCTAGCCTGCTACTTTCAGGGGGACAGTGTCAACCCCCACACCAAGGAGGCTATCATGCTTAACGCTGAAGCCAACAACCTGTTTGGGTTTACATTACTCAACCACAGTCTCTAGCCAGAGATGATAGCTCCTTCACGGTGCTATGGGAAGCGGAGACCTCAGCAGGATGATTCTGAGATTAGAGGAGGGCTGCCACCCTTACACCACTGTGGTCTAGAGCTTTTCCTCATAGGGTGAATAAAGTTCATGATGCAGAACTCAGGCAGTGAGGGGCCTAAACAACTCTCTGTTAGTGAGATGGCCCTTTTCCAACTACCTGCAAAGCTTGTTTGCATGGAGGCCTCAGCAGGATGACTCTCGAAGGAGAGAGGAGGCCTGACACATGCTAGAGTACCGCTACAGCGCTCAGGGAGCGAGGGGGCCTAGGTGCTCTCCCTCCACGCTCTTCCAAACTGTATATATGGAGGCCTCAACAGGATGACTCTCGGAGAGGAAGCCTGACGCATATATTTCGGAGAGGTAGCTCGACGATCATCGGAGCTCAGGGAGCTAAGGGCCTAAAGCACCTCCTCAGAGAGGAAGGGGCCACTTCTCAAGCTCTACCTGTAATAGAAGTTAAGAGAGAGCTCGACTACCACCAGAGCTCAGGTAGCGAGTACTCAAGAAATGAGGAAGAACCCCTTCCGCGCTCTACCAAGCTGTATATATGGAGGCTTCAGCAGGATAACTCTCGAAGAAGAGGATGCCTGACA